TGAACACAGAAATACAAAAAAAAAGTAAATGGAATTGAAAATTTAGCTGAACTTACTTGAGAGCAAGCTTTCTATAAGCAGTTTTAATCTCCTGGTCGGATGAATCTCTAGTCACGCTCAAAACCTCATACGGGTCTCGGCGAATCGCCAGGGCCGAAGTCCCTTCCGTCTTGGAACCGCCCATTTCCCCCTCTCTTTCTGTAAACACACCTCCCTATTCTTCACTTCAAAATCTTGTCTTTTTCTTTCCCTCTCCAGAGCTTGTAAAGCTATATCTTCTCAATTGCTATTTGCTACCATCAAATAAAAGACAAACACCTTATCTGCAAATCACAATCAGAAAGACGACAAAGAAAAAACCCATCAAAATCATCAAAGAATAAAAAAATTTAAAAAATCAGACCGAGAAAAACTAAGAGATTTTACAAATTGTTGATGACCGCGCCACAATACCTGATTACGTGGCGCCACCTCTGCAACATAGGCACGACTGGCCAGTGCTAACCTGGCGTGCCCACGGTGGATTAGGTATTCTCGAGCTACCAATCCAATAACGGAGATTACTGGCCGAGGAAGGGGTCGCTACCCTTCCTCTACCGCGGTCGCGCCCCGCTCCAGTCGGATGGGCTCCTTCCCCCCTGGCTCGCTTGAGGTTGCTCTCTGAAAGAGCAACCTCGACAAACCTGTTTACACATTCTCCTTCTTGGCGAAAAAGACCTCGGGACAGAACTGGGATGGGAACCTGCGAGGTCATGAAGGCAGGACCGCGAAAGGGGCCTATCCCCACTGAAGCACGGGAATCTGAGGACATGTGGATAGGTGGCTGAGATCTAAGGGGTCGCCTCAGGCCGAGGCCAGCACAAGGGGGAAAAGATACCCGGTACCTAAGCTCGAGCGATGAAGGATAAGAAAAGCATTAATTATGAAAGACATTTGATAAGACCCGCATTAATTAGGGAGCGCCGTTACCTCCTTTGACCGAAGGAAAAAGCGCCGTGGCCCATCCATCAATGTCTCATCCGTCAAAAGAAGAAGCCATCGAACCTTTGGATAAGAGTGGGCTCAGCCAAAGGACTAAAAGGCATTGACCGAGGAAGTAAACACTATAAATAGGGGTGTTGATCAGCCTCTAAAGGAGGAAAAACCACCGTATTAATACTTATCCTCTGACAAGCTCGAGTTTGCACGGTACTGAGGTCGGCCTTCCTTTTCTCAATCTCCGTACCTAGAGAATCCCTTGTGTTGCTTGGATCTCCACTTGGATACTGATCTCAGATTTCTTGGCATACGTGGAACGAACTCCTCATCCTGCTCACGAACTACCATCAATATTTTGGCTACTTCACTGGGGAGGAACGGTTCACCCATGTCAAGTATACGAGAGATCAGTCCGTCCTCTCAAACCAGCCCTGCCCTAGGCGAGGGCTACGATGGGTCTGTAAGTATGCCTGGGTTGTACTTCCCTGGAACTAGGATTATCTACCCTGATGCACTAGTCGAAGCCCATAACTCACTGTCGCATAGAATGGAGCAGCTTGAAGGCACTCAGAGGGAGGTAGTGACCTTGCTGCGGCAGATTGTTGACCAAGGAGCACTTCAGCGAGGTGCAAATCCGAGTGACAACCTTCTTGATGAGTTTACTGGGGAACATGCAACCCCGGGTAATCCGGCGCGACAGACATTCTCGTTGTCAGTCGCGGCAAGACGAGCCACCGGTCGACGCAGGCGGTCGCGAGATACACCGTCGCGGGCTCGCCGAACCCTTTTTAGTACTCCTCTCATGGCACCCGCAAGGTTGAGTATGCCGAGTACCGGTCGGAGGGAGGCTCGTCACAGAGACACGAGCTCGGACGGATTCGGACATCAACAGGACCCTGTGCAGCGGTCGCTGTATGTAACTATGGCGGACCTACAAACGCTGTTGCGAAATGAAAAGAATGTGCTGATGCAGGAGGCAGCCCCTGAACCACCTTACGCACAATCCATCGCGCTTCTCCCTTACCCCCCGGTGTATTTGACCCCCAAGTTCAGCAAGTTTGATGGAAGGAAAGGGAACCCGTGAGAGTATGTGGTACGGTTCATTGAGGCCTTGGGGCCCTTCGGAAATGATCATACTCTACATCTTAGGGAGTTTTCAAAAACTCTCACGGATAGGGCTTACAAGTGGTACGCGAATTTGGAGTCTGGGTCACTTACCACTTGGAGCCAGCTGGCTACCATATTTCAATCCAAATTCTTTTAAGCAGAAGAGAGGGTGACAACCCTTTCCCTGACTAAAGAAGTCCAGGGCCCTGGGGAGGACTTGCTCTCATATGTTCATAGATTTCATGATTGGGCTATGGAATGTTATGAAACGTATGAAGAGGAAGCGGTGGCCAAGATTTGCATACAAGGCATGCAGAGGTCTTACCGCATTCACCTCATTAATCTGAAACTCCTCACCTTTGCTGACTTAATTGAGGCATCTCGGAACTTGGCAAGCAATCTCGCTATTTGTGCGCAGGGTGCTACCCAAGAGGAGTATCGGCGTAGATGGAGACCCCAAGTCACTGCTGCAGATGAGCCCCCCGGAAAGAAGAACGCGAGACCATCCCGTGCCCCTCGAGCAAAGAATCCGGACGAAGCGCCTCCCCCGTTCCCATGTACCCCTAAAGAGGTGGAAACCATCCTCAAGAAATGGATCCAGCACGGAGACATCAGGCTGCCAGAGGTCTCTCGTGAGCCCACCTTGGAAGAAATGGCCTACCCCAAGTACTGCATGTATCATCGGTATACTCGTCATCCTACTTATGATTGTTGGGCGTTGCGGAATACCTTTCACAGACGAATTGCTAACGGTGAACTCATTCTTCCCCCCAGAGATGTGAGGGAAGAGCCTTTCCCTGCGTATGATCGTGGAGTGGCAATGATGGTGTCCTGCAGGGAGACCGAAAGGGAAGAGACCGAGGGTGGTGCGGCCGAGATCACGCTAGTGCAGGGAGATGACCTCGAGGCCTTTCACTTGTTAGAAGCGGCTCCTGTCAAGAATATTCTCCAAAAGATGGATTTTTCTCCTTTTGCCCAGAAGGAAATAGCAAAATTTCTGTAGCTAGCAGCAAAGGAGGGTGTCAAGGAGGTGGCGTCTATCGCGTCACTCCCTGTATCACAAAAGTCAGCAGGGTCGGCTTTGGTCTTTACAGAGGAAGATAAATGTGTCCCTACTCCGCACAACAGGCCATTGTATGTTACGGCTTCGCTCAATGGGGTCAAGCTCAAGCGAGCGTTTCTGGATAATGGTTCGTCCCTCAATATCATGCCTCTGGAAGTCTTTCGCCGCAATGGTTTACCAGATGAGAAACTTATCCGAAGGCCAACAGAGATCGCCAGGTTTGGAAGTGATATTCGGAGAACTGAGGGGTACATGACGGCCGAGTTGACCATTGGGAAGTTCAAAAGTTCGGTGAAGTTTCACGTCATTGATTCGGATACCTCTTACCATTTGCCCATAGGTCGAAGTTGGATACACAAGTTCGGGATTGTACCATCCTAGTATCACCAATGCATGAAGGGGTTCTGGAACGGGAAACAGGTGATGGTCCGCTGCTCTGATCGACCATTTACTAAAAGAGAGTCTCACATGGTAGAGGCTGGATTCTTTAACGAGTTAGAAGATGCAGAGGAACCACAACCATTAAGGGCCTTTCTTCTACCGAAGTGGGAGGATGTCGACCAACAAAAGGAGGAGAAAATGCCAGGAGCGACTGCTAGCCGGAGGAAGTCAGCTATCTGCAAAAGGATACGTTTGGCCGACGGGAGAGTGGCATACCGCTTATGACGGTGTTGAGGGGCACGATCTAGGGCGAGATCGCGCCCCCGAGTAGAATCGTGTCAGGTAGAATCTCTGAAATTTGAGGAGGCCAAAATGGAGTCAGGCGAATCCGCTCGGCTCAGTTAAGAAGAAGTAGAGGAAGTTAATTTAGCCAATGACGGTCGCTCCCGGATAACCTATGTGTATAAAAAGTTGGAAGGAAGTGAAAAAGCGGCACTGGTAGCTCTGCTCAAAGAATTCGAGGATGTCTTTGCCTGGACATATGAGGAAATGCCCGGATTAGATCCTTAGGTAGTGACTCACCACCTTAACGTGCGACCGGATGCACGCTTGGTTAAGTAGGCGCAAAGAAGTTTTTGGCCAGAGCTTGAGTTGCAGATAAAGGAGGAGGTGCAGAAGCTTTTGCGTGCCGGCTTTATCAAACCAATTCAACATCCCATGTGGTCAAATGTGGTTCCAGTAAAAAAAAAAGAATGGAAAAATTAGAGTTTGTGTTGACTTCAGAGATCTGAACAAAGCATGTCCAAAAGATGATTTTCCACTGCCTATAATTGACAACTTGGTAGACTCAACCTCAGGGCATGAAATGTTCTCGTTCACGGATGGATACAGCGGATATAATCAAATTAGAATGGCGCAATGTGATGCAGAGAAAATAGCATTCCGCACCCCCATGGGAAATTTCTATTTTACAGTCATGCCCTTCGGCCTGAAGAATGCAGGGGCTACTTACCAGCGGGCCATGACAGCTATTTTTCGTAACATGTTGCACAGGCAAATGGAGGACTATGTAGATGATCTGGTGGTGAAATCCCGAGTTCGTAGTGAGCATTTGACTAATTTGAGAATTGTTTTCGAAAGATGTCGGAAGTTTAAGCTAAGGATGAATCCACTGAAATGCACCTTTGGGGTCGAGGCCGGCCGTTTCTTGGGCTTCATAGTGTATCGTCAAGGGATCGACATCGAGCAAAGCAAGGCCCGAGCTATCATAGAAATGCCCCCGCCGCGATCCCTCAAGCAACTGAAGAGTTTAGTAGGAAGGGCCTCGTATTTACGACGCTTTATACCGGCGCTCGCAGAAATAACACATGCTTTTGGCGCTCTGATGAAGGAAAAGTCCGAGTTCAGATGGAGCGAGGAACACTAGCAGGCTCTCGACCGTCTCAGGAAACTACTCTCCTCGCCGAACACCATGATAGCCCCTCGGACAGGGATTCCCCTCAGACTCTATATTACCTCGACAGAGCGCTCTATTGGGGCGCTCCTCGCTCAGGAAAAGGACGGTCAAGAGCGCCCCGTGTATTACATCAGCCGAGTTGTGCAAGGTGCCGAGGCACGCTATTCTTTGATAGAACGCCATTACCTCTTCCTCGCCTTTGTAGCTAAGAAATTCCGCCATTATTTCTTAGCCCATGCCATTCATCTTATCACCAAGTGTGACCCGTTGAGATATCTGCTCTCGCGTCCAATCATTTCGGGGCGAGTGGCACGGTGGCTCTTAATGTTAGCTGAGTTCGATATCCATTGTCTAGCACCACAGGCCATCCTAAGTCAAGCCTTGGCAGATCTGATAGCCCAATTCCCCTCTGGAAATTTTGAGCCGGTGTAGGATGATCTTCCCCTCGATGAATTCGAGTCAATTTGTTGCGTGGATGAGAACATGATCTGGACTCTGTCATTTGATGGATCATCAACCTCTACAGGAAGGGGCGCAGGAGTAGTGTTAACCCCTGAAGAGGGGAAAGCCCAAAAATTTTCATACAAGCTCACCTACGGATGTTCCAATAACACAGCAGAGTACTGGGTCTTCTGGCGGCCCTGGAAGCTAAAATCAAGCGGTTGCACGTGCAAGGGGATTCAAACTTGGTGGTAAAACAACTAGATGGCTCTTATGCTATCGAAGAGCCGGCTTTGGTAGCATATAGAACTATTATCCAGAAGCTCAGTGGTCACTTTAGTGAGCTCCAAATAACCCACGCACCGAGGGCTGCTAACCGGCATCCGGACGCCCTGGCCACTCTGGCATCCAAGGTTGAGATTACAGGAGAATCAGTAAACATTCGTATTCACAGGAAGAATGAGTCATGTCTACATAACATAAAGTGCACGGGTAATGAAGACAAGGAAGACTGGTGAGCTCACTATGAATCGCAGCTGAAGTGCGGCACGGGCGAGGTTCCTTTGTCGGAACTAAAAAATTTTGCATTGTATTTTGGAGTGTTGTACTTTAGAGCGCCTGGCGGAACCTTGGCAAGATGCATCAGAGAAGAAGAGGCGGGAAAAGTATTGGATGAAATTCACAGTCACACCTGCGACGATAATTCCTTGAGTCTATACCGAAGAATACAAAGGCAAGGGTATTACTGGCCGCGCATGGCAAAGGATGCTGCGGCTGTACAAAAGGCGTGTTCTGATTGTCGAGAAGTGTTCGAGGGGTCTCATTATGTAGCCAATGTTGAAGAAGACTGAAGACGGAAGTATGTGGAGTATCTTAAAAATCAGACGCTCCCACAGGATCTCGAAGAAGCTGCGCTGCTAAAGAGGGAGGCCAATCGTTTTTTTATCTGTAGTGGTGAGTTGATGAGGTACGGCTTTGACGGCAGACCTAAGTGGTGTGTCAATTCAGCCGAAGCTCGCGAAGTTCTGAAGCAAGTGCATGAGGACGAACACCAAGGGTGGAAGAGGCTATACCATCGCATTATACAATTGGGTTATTATTGGCCCACAATGCAAACTGACAGTAGAAGCTACGCCCAAAAATGTTGAGAATGCCAAGTTCATAGTCATGCCATCCACGCGCCAGCAATGGAACTACAGCCCACGGAGGCTCCTTGGCCCTTTCACACATGGGCAATGGATTTGATAGGACCCATTTCACCCAAGTCTAAGAAGATGAAATGGATACTTGTAGCAACAGAAGTGTGCACCAAATGGGTCAAAGCGGTAGGTCTATCGACAACGACTGGGCAAGTGGTAGCAAACTTTGTTAAGGAAAACATCATATGCTGATTCGGCGTACCTCGGGTCATTGTGTCAGACAATGGAACCCCCTTCGTTAACAGCAAGGTACGGGCACTCCTTCAAAGGTATCGAGTGGCCCACCACAAGTCGACTCCGTACTATCCTAAAGGTAACGGACAAGCGGAGGCCACTAACAAGACATTGATTCGAATCCTAAGTAGAACATTGAAGGAGCAACATAACAAATGGGCTGAGCAGTTACCGTTAGCGCTATGGGCATACCAGACTACCACAAGGGGAGCCATAGGCACCACCCCCTTTTCATCGGTATATGGCACAGAGGCGGTGCTCCCAATTGAAATAGCGATTCCATCTGGAAGTCTAGCTGAGCGAAGCCAGCTACAACTCGACCCCCGGATAGGCGAGCTCGAGGCGCTTCAGCAGCAGAGAGAGCATGCAAGGAATAAAATGGTAGTCTATCAAAGAAGGGTGGCTCGGGTATATAACGCCACTGTGCGTCCTCGGGCATTTCAAGAAGGTGATTTAGTCTTAAAGACCGCAACACATGTGATGCGAAACTTGTCCGCGCCTAAGTTTACCCCCAAGTGGATATTATGACATCGGAAGAATAGAGAGTAACAAGGTACTGGGCACGTTTAACGCTAAATGGTTAAAAAAGTATTACTCTTAATTTGTAAGCCTAATTCGAGGTCCTAAGACTGTAAGAGGCTTTTGTAATACCAAACCTGCTTTTGTAAGGAGAATCATGTTTGCTATTCGCTTAATGTAATGATTGAGCATGATTTTCTCTTTTTTCTTTCTTTTCACAAATCAAACATCTGGTTGACCTCACCTGTGATAGAGGTCGTTTAAAATTCATTTGCCCACCTCACCCTGGGGAGAGGTCAAAGCTGCAATATCACCTCGCCCCAGGGAAGGTCTGTCAAAAAATAAAAAAAACTGGCAGAGAATTGATTTATAATAACTTCCATGACATTGCGACAAAAAGGGGGGGAAGTTGGAACTAAGCAAGAAAAGACTGATTCATTAATAACATAAAAGGGACCCTCAAATGGGCTACAAACGGTTCTCGCTACAATTTTTTTTTTACAACCTCAAGGCAAATCATCTAACGCTAGAGTAGCGGGGCCGAGCAAGGATAGCTTGTGTTTGATCTCGGCATTTAGAGAAATAATATGTTGCTCCCGCACGCTCACTTGTTCTTGTAGCTCAGCCAGTCGAGCCCTCTCGGACTGAAGAATCTCTTTCTCCTCCTCGGTCTGATCTCGAAGATCTTTGATCTCCTCTACCATTCTTTCGCGTTCCACAAACGCCTTGATTCGTGCAAAAATGTCCTCAGCCCAAGCTACGTCAATCTGTGCTCACTTCAGATTAGTAAATAGGCGATCTAGGGAACTGAGTTTCTCCTTACTTAAAGAACGACCCCTGGCCTCACGAAGACTCACCACTAGTTCACACGTTATTTTGTATGCGAATTCTAGAAATAGAGGCAACATCCCCTCGAGATTGCCAAAGGTTTGAGGATGTTTAACCATCACCTCGTCTAGGATCTCCGCCTCACTTAGGGAAACATTGGCCCCACCCCACGACACGTGCGAGGTAGCATGTGCCCCGTGATCTGGCCCAGCAATGTTCTGTTCGGGTTCTTCCCTTTCTTCACCAGAACAATTCCGTATGTCTGGAATCATGTTTAGCTCCGGTTCAGATGCAACTATAGCTTCAACTTGACCAGCACCCTGTTCCCCTGGCTACTTCGAGCCACGAGGGCCTGAGACTTCATCTCTGGAAGAACCGCCGGAGTTAGAGCTTCCAGTCTTGTCCAGACTATCTTCAGAGGAAGGAAGGGACTGGAGAGCTGATTCGACCATCTTTTGGAACTCGGCAATGGGTTCTCGAGGTAGCATATGGACGACCTCGACCTGTGAACTGGTATCGCTGTTCTCGCCATTGCGGCCGGAGTAATGACCCTCAGAACCTACGGCGGCCTCGGCTGCATCAGACATGGCTGCCTCGACGTATGTGGTATGTGCAGAAGTGAGTTGAAAGAATAGGAATGAAGTGAGTTGGGAAGAATAGGAATGAAGGAACGATACCTGCATTAGAAGGAGAATGGCTCTGACTCATTTCAAAATTAAAGATCCCCATGGCGGGGTCTGCTTCAGTATTAACCTTTCCCGTGTCCTCGTTAAGCCGGCCTAAGTCTTTAGCCAAGGGGATTAATTCCTTCCCTACCCCGCGGCGAGGAGGCGCGGGAGGGTTGAAGTTAGATGTTAGTACCGCCCGTGCTGCTTGCTCGGGGTCTTCAAGGACACTCACGAGAGTGTGGAGGGGATCGAAAGGAATAGCTAAGCCAGCTGGTGCCTCGGGAGCTTGGACTATGGTATTACCAGGTGCGGTTGAAGCCGGAGCTTTTTCAAGAGGCGCGGACTGAGACCTCGTACTCTGGGCAACCCTAGCTCGAGCTGAGGGGACAGAAACCCCCAAGGAAGGGATGGAGACTGGAGCGAGGGGAGCTTCTTTGGTGGTGCCCTATATACATAAAAAAGAGATGGTTAATTTAAAAAGTGTAAGGAAGTGGCAAGTAAAGAATGCTCGCGCTTACCTTGGCTCTCCTGGTAGAGGTGATCGCGGGCACAAAGGAGCTGACGTCCTGATCAATCTTGCATTTGTCTCGCTTTGTCTTGGTAGCTCGGAGAGCTATCGTAGGCGCCGCAGTACTTGGAGGGACCAGAGGTGGTAGGCCAGTGGTGTTACAAAGCTTCCCGCGAGCAGATATAGAGGTGTTCTTAAAAGAGCGAAAGGAGGTATTGCCTTTTAGCAAAGAATGAGCAGGAACAAGAGTTGGAGTACTACTCACAAACTGCCTGAAGGAAGTTATTACCTCCTTCCAATACACTTTCGTCTGAGGTCCCCATCGCCCTACTCGTGCGGAAGAAGGAATGTGAAGGATTCGGCGATCCCCTAAGAGTTCTGCCTCCTCGAAATCCAGAAAACGTAAGAAGCCCAGGGCATAAGTACTATGATCTTGGCGAGCTCCATACCCATAGTCCCGAGGAAGCCCCTGATCAAACCCAAACTGTCGAGCTATCCTATGGGGATTGTAAACCTTGCCCCCTCCCAAGTTAGGAGGAAGAAGGGCTGGAAGGTAACCCGCTGAAGTCATGGCAACGATTGTCAAAGCTGGGGTACGCCTTAATGACTTGCCCGAGATAACCATGCCATCTCTCGAGGCGCAGCACTCCACCCGAGGACCATGGATGTAAGGGTGAGCTAGGAAATAACTCTCGCGGTCAATGTACTTCGCAAGCTTCTTTTTTGTGGTTTGCTTGTGCCATTGAAAGGATCGTTTCAGCCCCTTGTCTCGAGGAAGCGCTTTTGGGCAAGGACCATACCGAGGAAAGTGCTCATAAAGGAACATCTATAGGAAGATGGTGTTAATAGGAGAAACTAGACTCATGCGACCTACAGAGTGCTCCATGCGGGCGTGTGCCAAGTCAAGCTCATGATAGAGTGTGCCGAGGAACAAGGAGGCCAAGGGGAAGCTGTTACCATAGGACAATCTCACGGCTAAGGGGATGAGATCAGGACAGGGGCCATCATCGGGGGGACCTGGGAAGATGAACCTCGATAGCCAATATAGGAGGAAAGCTGCGAGGCGAGTCGAGTCTTTACACTTGGGACCATTAAAAGAAGCCTCTTCCTCTTGGTTCGGAGGAGGAAAGTCCCGAAAGTAGTAACGGAGGAGCGACACAAAAGTGCATTTTTTTCCAGTCTCCGGAAACTCCTCGCGAAGACCATCATCTTGGTAAAGCGAAGCAATCTTGCCGGCCGCGGTAACACCACTGCGTAGCTTGGCAGCAAGTTTGACCTCGTCTTCGGAAAGTGTCCACGAGCACGGGTTGTGCTCACCAAATACGTTTAAGCACATGAGCTGCACAATATCCTTTATGGTAAGGGTGAACTCCCCCCACGAAGTGACAAAAGTATGGGTGTCGCGGCTCCAGCGAGACAAGAGGAGAGCGAGATCATGGATGTCTCGCGGAATGGTCAACTCATGGGTGTTGCGGATCACATCAGTGATCTTGAAGACCTTTAAAGTCTTAAAAAATTCAGCATCAGAAAGTACAGCATCTGTCCATTGCTCCTACCCTCGACCGTGGCTGGTCTGGCTGGTAAAGCTGAGATTGGAATGAGGAAAGTCGCCGTGCTCAACTCTAAACCTTAGCACCGAGTTAGCAGGAATAGGCGTTCCTACCCGTGCGTAAGGCTCGCCCTCAAAAAGGAACATGTCTCCTGGGGTCTCGTCAACCTCGCTCAATTCATCACTGTTCGACCAAAAAGTATCATTCGAGCCAAAGTAAGGAGCGACTCGCCATTCTGCCAAAGGAGGAACATTGGGAACATCGTCGCGTAAGGTCATGACCGAAGCTCTTTTTTCCGAGTAAGGGTCTTGAGGAGTTTGAGAGGGGTCTAGTTTGTACTGTGTATAAGGGGTGAGTTTTGGTTTAAATAGTGGGGGCCCAGCACCCCAAGTGTCGCGCCCCTGGCCGGCGAAGACACGGGGCTCGGTATCCGAAGCGTCACAGTTCGATGTGCCAATAAAATTTTGACACATAAGTTGAGAAACCGAAGCGACATGACCTCTTGAATTGACATTTCTCCCCGGCATTGAAGTGATGTGACCCTTCGACAGAAATTACAGTAATAGGGATAAAATAAAAAAATAAAAAAAGAAAGAAAGAAAGAAAGAAAGAAAAAGCAGCTTGCTCGAGCCCCCCTCTCAGGAACCTCGAGCAGGGGGGCAAAATGTTGATGACCGCGCCACGATACCTGATTACGTGGCGCCACCTCTGTAACATAGGCACGACTGGCCAGTGCTAACCTGGCGTGCCCACGGTGGATTAGGTATTCTCGAGCTACCAATCCAATAACGGAGATTACTGGCTGAGGAAGGGGTCGCTACCCTTCCTCTACCGCGGACGCGCCCCGCTCCAGTCGGATGGGCTCCTCCCCCCTGGCTCGCTTGAGGTTGCTCTCTGAAAGACAAAAGAGGCTGAATTTATAAAAAAAATATATATATATCTAATTTTTTTTATTTTTATTTATTATTACGTATTTTGCTAATTTTGTAATTACATATTATTATTAGCTAAGAAACACTAGGCCACGGCCTTTTGGTTTTCATTCTTTATTTTAATTGCCAAAAGAAAATTTTATTATATTTAATAAGATTAGTAAAATGTGCATTATATATATAAGAATAGTTTTGTATATATCATTCTAGGAGTAGTTGATAGAATTTAGAATTTTATTTGTAATTGATATAGAATTTTTAGGAGTAGATAACTGTTTTTATATATTTATTAAAATAAACAATATTATAATAATTAAAAATACATTATAAAAATAATGTTGTATATATAATTTTTAAGAGTAGTTGATAAAATTTAAGATTTTATTAATAGTTGATATGAAATTTTTTGGAGTCAAGTATAGATATAGAATATATGTCTTACCTTTATATATATATAGAGAGAGAGAGAGAGAGAGAGAGAGAAATTTTTATATTGTCTCCTTCTCTCAAACATCCAACTTTAAATTTGGTAAATTGTAATCATATATTTTCAAATTATTAGTATTCATAGTCAATTTTTTTGTTATAAAAAGATTAATATAGTCTTCAAAATAGTAATACTATTTTTTACTTAAAAAAACATTTGAATAATTTTCTTGCACCTTTTGGAGCTAAATTTATTATTCATCAAAGGTTGCATAGGGCAGTGGTACTTACTCATCTTTTAAAATATATAAATAAATAAATTTATTAAAACTAGAATTTGATTTTCTCATTAGAATTCAAATATTTTTCCATTTTCATAGCATGTGTCTTATAGCATTACATTGTTTTATATAACAATTTTACATTACTTTATTAAATGATCAATTGGCCCATTGGTATCACCCCTTCCTCTCCCAGAGGGAAGGTAGGTTTTTTTCAAACCTATTGAAAATCAAGGCACAAGATTCGCCTCTTTATGAGGATATTCAAAAATTTCTCATTGACATATTTTATTGGACCAACCAAGCCAACGGAAGGAAAATGAGAAGAAAAGGTTAATAATTTAGGATGAAACTAAAAATCATTAATGGATCCCTCGCGTGATAAATTACCCCTTAATAAAACCTCTCACATGATATATTCTTTAAATCTACCAACTACCCAAAAAGAAAAGTTCTATCTTTTCTTTTCTCTACCTTTCGTATTTTTTACTCTTTCAATGTAAACAAATTGTAAGAAGCAATAGGATTAAAAAGTTAGGATGAAACTAAGGCTATGTTTGGTACGGTGGGTTTGAAGGAGGATGATAAGAGTAGTTATGAGGGAAAGGGAAGGGAAGAATAATTTTAACTCTCCATTGTGTTTAGTTGGTTAATGAAGGAAAAGAAAGGGAAGGATAATAATTATGTTTGGGAAAAGAAAGGAAAGGGAAGGATAATAATAAATTTACTATTATACCCTTATTATTATTTTAAAGGAGATATATATATATATATATATATATATATATATATATATATATATATATCTTATATTTTGCTACACAGCACCTCCATCTCTAATCTCGTTCTCAAATCTAAACTTGCCCTCTCCTCCTCCTCCTCCTCTCTCTCTCTCAAATCAAAACCCACATCTTTCAGTTTCCATTGCTGTTCCAGTTCGGGTTCACCGTGGCCGTCCGCCTCAAAAAATCAAAACCCACATCTTTCAGTTTCCATCACTGTTCCAGTACAGGTTCGCCGTCCGCCGTTCGCAAGCTTCCCGCGCTGAATACATGCCCAATATCAAGTGCAATTTTGAGGGTAAAAGTGGCATGACAAATATTATATGAGCCATTGCCTGCCATTGCCTTCCCTTTCCTTCCTTATCCTCCTATTTTTGGAAGGTTAAAGAAATTACTGTACATTGTTATGAAGAACCCCTCCAAACCCTTCCCTTTTCCTCCACTCACCTTACCCAAACACAATTTTTTTATAACCCTCCATCACCTTTCCTTCCCTTTCCCTTCAAACCCACTCTACCAAACTGAGCCTAAAGAAAAATGAATGAAAGCTTTTCTTATATCTGGATTATATATAAAAGGGAAAAGAAAAGAAAATTAGAGCTAAGGAAGGGTTTGAAAACTCATGTCCTTCTAAAAATTATAATTAAGAGAATCAGTGATTATCTACTTTTCTTTTTTTTTTTTTTTTTTTTTTTTTTTTTGAAAAAGATAAATGGTCTGCCATTGTTTTTTTTCCTTCCTCTCTTATCCTGAAAGGTTGGATTCTAATAGAAAAAGAGAAGAAAAGAAAAACAAAATGGAGCACAGGTGACCACATCCATAACCAACCCTTCTTGGCACAAATTATCGCAATAGCTCAAGACCATATGGTTTCAATTTCCCCTTAAACTTCCTATTTTTTTTATTTTTTTAAATTTTATATTTTTTTATTTAATTTTTTTAATTTTCTTTTACACCAATTTTTTAAATTATTTTTTATTATTTAAAATTTTTAATTTTAGTCAATTTTATTTATTTCTTTTTAAAAAAAAATTTTTAATTATTTTTTATTTTTTAATTATTTAAATTTAAAATTATTTTTAATTATTTTTAAAATTTTTTTGGAAGGTTTTAAAATTTTTTATTATTTTTAATTTTTAATTTTTTAAATTATTTATAATTATTATTTTTAAAATTTTTAAAATTATTTGTTTTTTAAGAAGAAATTTCTAGAGAGAGAAACTTAGAAAGAGTGGATTGATAAGAAACAAATTTAGAGAGAGATGATTGTGAGTGAGAAAATTTTAGAAAGAGAAATGAGTTGAGTGTAATATAGAATAAATGTGTGTTGTTTGTTTATTATGTAATGGGTGAAATATAGGTTGAATAAAGAATATGGTTAACCATATTTAACCCATTTTGACCCTCAAATTAAATAGTTAAAAATTACTCAACCCATCTTGACCTTCAAATTAAATATGATTCAACCATGACTATTAAAAACGGACTAATATAGACAGATATATAATTTCTGACCCATTTTGCTGCCCCTAAATTCTATACCATAAATTTTCCAGAAGAATTTTTAGCTGAACTGTTCAGCTTTACAGATGTCTAGTCTTGTCCACTACAACAAATTTCAAGATTTCCATAGACAAAACAGAATATTCACCTTGATACCCTACTGGACTTTTATTAATGAGTAATTACTATAATTCTCTCTACTCCCAAAAATAATAGTAAAAATTAATAAATAAATAATCCAACCCTGCAAAAATGCACTTAATTTAAAAACAGGAAAGCTTTATGCATGTGGAAGCATTACACAAAATAATTTAATTTTTGGTTAAGCAATGGTTTGCCTCCTCTTCAATCACCTCACCATCCATGAAATCCAAGTTCTTGCACCGTCTCTGCAGTTGCAAAAAAAATATTGCAGACTCACCATCATATTTCTTTCATTTTGACTCAAATGTGGGGAGACTAATGAATCCCTATTTGTCAAATCTCATATTGTCACGAGACCGTCCCGCTATGTAGATATTGTTCGCTTTGTACACTCTCTGTACTCATGATTTTTAAAACACGTCTATACAGTTAGAAGACATCCACACATTTAAGTGTTGTGAACTTCTCCCCCAAGAGATGCGCGAGGTCACACATATCCTACTCACCTTCGTTTTAGCTCTTCCTTTGTTCTTATAATTTTTCCTAATGAATTTCCCAACCTGAAGCATCTTTTGCATCTTTACCACCTTGTAAGGATGGTTCTTTTGTGTCCTTACAACTTCAGGCACTACCTTTACATTGCTCTGGTTTTAATTTTCAGTGATTTCACCACTTTCAAATGCTAGAGGTAAGGCACTGTCATCGCTCTCAATGGAAGTCATGTCATGCTCAAATTTCACGCGAGGAGGAGAGAAGAAGAATGGCTTAGGAGGCATTTCAATGGCTTCTGCATTGCCGGACAACATTTCAACCACTCTGGTCATCGAGGGACGATCTCTAGGATTTATCTGAATGCACCACAAACCAACCATAACCATCTTCCTCGCAATGAACACTTCCTCTTCCACCACAGAATCAACATTTTCTTCAATGAGCTTGTCATAAATCCAACTTGGAAAGTATGCTTCACTTGAATTGCTCGTCTCTGGTTCTACATGCTTCCTCCCTCCAACTATCTCTAACAGCATCATTCCGAAACTATAAACATCGGATTTATGAGAAGGATTCCCAATATTTCTCATGAAAATCTCGGGAGCAATATAGCCTATGGTTCCTCTTGCACCTGTCATTGTGACTGCACTTCGATTTCTAGAATATACTTTTGCCAACCCGAAATCTGAAATCTTGGGATTGAAATTCTGGTCCAGCAACACATTTTGAGGCTTTATGTCAAGGTGCAAAATCCGCGAGCCACAACCGGTATGCAGGTACTCTATTCCATGTGCAACTCCTATGGCAATTTCAAGCAGCCTTGCCAAACCAAGTGAAATGCTCACCTCCTCTTTGGATATTATGTCTGCTAAAGATCCATTGGGCATGTACTCGTAAACAAGAGCTTGTTTTGATCTGTCCCAACAAAATCCCAATAAATGTATGACATTAACATGGTGGATTCTACCGATGGTGGCTACTTCATTGATGAAATTGTGGCCGTTGTCTCTGCAATTCTCGAGCATTTTGACAGCAATGAGCCGACCATCTGACAATTTTCCCTTGAAGACGTTGCCATAGCCGCCTCCCCCTAATTTTTCTTTGAAGCCATTGGTCATTTTTCTAATGTCATTGTAGGGATAGTTGGTCAGCACAGTTGATTGATAGTTCTTAATGAACTGCTTTGCATTTCTCTCATCCTCTGTGGTTTGATCCTTTTTGAAATATGAGGTCTTGAAGATTGCAGAAGTACCCTTTTTATACTTGAAAATGAGCAGTGCGACTACAACAAGTAGAACAAATGAGCTTCCGGATGCAACACCTACAAGCAAGACACAGCTCAATGAGGAATTAATTAAATGCACAAAAACAAGAACCGAAACTCATTAGAACGGTGTTGTTAACAACCATCTACTCTTAAAAAAAACTTAAGCTGTTAAAGAGAGTGTAACTTTTATATTTAAATCCTTCAACACACACTCATGGATTTAACACGGGTAAGATTTGAACACAGAACCTGAAACTCATAAGGTTGCAGGGTAAAGTGATTTTGTGGCATTATGAGTAGTTTTTGGATGAGATACAAATTTCTACTTTTACCAGGTTTCTACAAGGTTAAGGATATACCTGCAATGAGCTTCCATCTACTTGATTTGTTCCTGCAAGGTTGAGAAGGAAAATAATAGACATTATGAAACATTCAACTTATCTAAATAAACGAGGATTGATGGTCTATCAAACAAAACAAGTAGTTGTGGCTACCAAGCAAAACATTTTCATTGAGAAAATGTGAAACTGAAGCAACAAAGGGCACCTGATTATGTAAATGTAATAAAATGAAGATCATAATTCGAGCCCAACCTTAGTTTTCTTTAGGTTGGATGGGTTCGGTTAAACATGCCTTTTTATTATAGAAAATGGTACTAAAAAAATGATTTTATTTTTATACAAAACATGATCATACCTAACATTCCAACTGGTATTTATTAGACTAGTATTATTAGCTGGGACTGACATTGAATCATTACTTCTAGAGGGGAGGAAAAGTGACACATCAAAGAAAGTGAGAACAACCACCATGGCTGTGGTTCCATGAGAATATATTGGTGTGCCCCGTGCACTTGGCCATCAAAGCCTTCTGTTCCTGCGTGTGTTGTGCATGGACGGACCGGATACACCAAATACCTTCTCGTGGTCCTATATCATCGCATTAAATCACTTTACTTCATATACTAGTGAGGATCATTAATTAATTCCGCACTTAATGCTTTAATATCAGAGTGTCATTAGTGTGAGCTCGAGTATCATAGCATTGGAAGGAACTAGAATAAAGTAATTATGATAAAGTCTACAATACTATGGGGTACTTACACGTTGTGCCCCCGCTAATGAAGCATCATGGAAACTCTAATTTATCTTGACACACAAGTGAAGGGGCCAGATTGGCCCTGGGTCGGGTCAGTAAAGCCAAAAATGTCTTGCGCCTATTGGCAGCCAGCAAAGACCATCCCGGACCCAATTAAAAGATCCAGTGGCCCCTTCCACTGGGCATCAGAGCTGGCTGTCTTGTGCACGGACGGACTAGACACACTATGGGGTACTTACACGGGGTGCCCCCGCTAATGAACCATGGGAACTCTCATTTATACACAGCAAAAGGACTAAAGTCATATAATCCCATCCACATGCTAGAAATAATTAAGCGTAAATGATAAGTAGTAAACTCTTGGACGCATCTTTTTAATGTAATGTAAGTAGCGAATAATATGATCGTGACCTAATTATATTTAATAACTTGGAGAGATGAAAACACTTACCTAACACCACATCCACCTTTACAAAAACAAATAATGTTGTTGGCGCCGCTGTCATATCCACACCGTCCACTTTTATTTTGACACTTCATACAATTATCAGGAGTCGTCCAATTTAACGCAAACCCATCACCCAGAACACCCAACACCAACTCAATCGAACGGTCACCACTAGTCCTATTCAAGAACCCATACCTAAACAAGCTCGCATCCAATACCGGCACCATCATCACCAACTCGCACCCACTCGGTATCTGAGTCGCCACCGGGCTGACTCGCCCATCAAACCAAAGATAAAGACGAAAATCATCACCCTCACTGCAACTGTAATTTCCCACAATTTGTTGAGGCATGATTGTAGTAGCTACCTCAATTGGGCACTTGAAGAAGGTGAAGTTGTTACCCCGTGTAGGGAGTGTCAGGGATGCTGCTGAATCGGCGGGAGTGGAAAGGGAGGGGTTTCTGAGGGACCCACACGAGCCGGAGCGAAGGTCGTCGATGAGCTGAGGATCGACGACGGTGATGAGGTTTTCGGATGCGTAGAGGCCGAGGACACGGTAGGAGCGGCCGGAGAGTTCGAGGCCGGCCGGAAGGGAGGAGGTGGCGTCGCAGGAGATCTGGAAGCGCGGAAGGCCACAGTCGTAGGGACGGGAGCCGAAGGTGTAGGAGGAGGAGAAGGGGAAGGGGAAGGTAATGTTGCCACACCAAAAAGGTGCACAATTGTCGTAGTACTCGGGAGAATTCAACTTTTCGGAGATACTGAGAGTGAAAAGAGTGGTGCATGAGATGAGAGAGAGAAATAGTATGGTGGGATGGAAGAATTGGAGAGAAGTTAGCGGTTTGATCACCATATTTTTTTTTTTTTGGTAGTAATTGTAATGGTTTCTATATTTTTGTTTTCCTCTTTTCGACTTAAAAAATAATAATAATAAAATAAAAGGGTCAGTAGGCTAAATATGCCATGCTCATCCTTTGCGATGAGTGATGTATGGCTATCAAGGCAGATGGCTGACATAATTTGTGGACTTTTCAAAAAAATTAAAAAAAAACAAAAACAAAAACAAAATTAAATTTACTAGTAAACTTTGGCGTCTTTGACTTGTACTACTACTATAACTCCGGCTGGTCTCGACCGCTGTTTTATTGTTTTACCATATTTGCTTAACAAGAAGATCTATATCAAGAATTCTTACATTAAAAATTGAATTGGTATATATGGTAGAAAATTAGAAGAGAGACAACATGATTTTAAAATACAAGTTTCAGTTGGATGTAAGTTAAATGGCCCCATTTGGTAATTTTTATGTTATTGTGTCTCTCATTTTCAATTTTTACTTTTAGTGGTTGTTATTGTATTTCTTTATTGCTTGTGTCAAACTAATAAAAAATAAAATCAACACGACTGATAGAGACAAGTTGAGCTTAAAATAGCTCATCGTGAGACAAGTTGAGTTTAAAATAGCTCATCGTGAAAGACGATGATGGAGCGAGTTAAGAATATGTTTGTTTTTGGTAGAAAATAAGTCAAAATAATTTTTTTTTTTCTCCCTAAAAATTGGTCATTTTGAAAATATGTTTTCAAAATTTTAAAATATTTTGAAAACTAAAAAACAAACGACCCCAGGGTTCGCATTTAATAAGCTAGCTTCTCATCCCCTTACTTTACCCCTAAACGCATTTAATAAGCTAGCTTCTCATCCCCTTACTTTACCCCTAAACAAAGATACACTTGTGGCGACCTTATGGGCAGGTATGTGTGAACGTGTGTAGGTGACACCAATAGACTATTTCGCTGGATGTGTTATATGTGCACAATTCCACATCATCTGGGTGTGGATGAGGCAAATGCTATATGTATATTCAATACCCTTTTATGACACAACGTATTTTAAAATCGTGATGGTCATGAACCAATCAAAACTTCAAAGTTAAGCGTGCTTAACCTAGAGTAGTACTCTAGGAAGTTTCTGGTTCGGGAGAGCCAAAAACGGACAATATCCTAGAGTAGTAACAGGATGAGTGACCCCTGGGAAGTCTATAGCTCGGGGAGCCAAAAACAGATAATATTGTGTCTGGTTAGGGTAAGGGTTGTTATAAAATTGTTGAAATTATTTGTCGCATTGGTTTGTAGGAGCCAAAAACAAACAATATTGTGTTTCACTAGGGTAATATTGTGTCTGGCTAAGGTAAGAATTGTTACAAAATTGTTGAAACAATTTGTTGCAGTGACGGAATGGAGAATATCTAAATCAAATTAAATAAATATACAAAGTTCAAATCTTGTTAAAGTACATTTTTGTGTGAATCATTAAAGCTAAACCTTGCAATATAATTCATATTCAAGCCAAATAATTCCTTCACATGCAAGATGGCCGGTCAAATTAAGATAATGCAAGGCAATCACTAGCCTAGATATTGAGAAGCACATTAACTTTAATTTTCTCCAAATTTAGTTAAAACATATAAGCATATCGGGGTAGCTCTGTTGTACAATATGAGTCCCCAATTGATCCCATTCATTGGCATGTATAGGGTAAATATGACACTATAGTATCTCATTGATCGTCTTCTATTTCGCAAGTCTTTGCAAAATCTGCATTACAAGTTAAGGAACACACTTTGAATTAGGAATTAAACCCAAGCAGAATCGGGGCTATCCTTATCAAAGGTTGTAGGGTGCTTGGATGAAACTTCATAGCAAAAAGAAAGCAAATGAGATGAAACTTCATAGCAAAAAGAAAGCAAATGAGATGAGAGAATTCAAGTTTTGGGAGTGAGTGAGATGGAGAAGAGTGGTGCATGAGACAAGTGAGAGAAATAGTATGGTACTAGGATATTGGAAGATGGGTAGAAAATCTAGAGGTCTGATCACCATTTTTGAGTGACTGGTATGGTTTCTATATTATTATTTTTCATTTTGGATTAAATTACATACTATTTTCAAGTGCTCAGTATATTAATAGTCCACCTTATGGGTACTCCTTTGCTTGTATTGGTACATAGGAATCTGAATCCTCTATTAGATGATATTAGGGTTAGGGATACCCATATACAACAACCCCATTACCTACCCATAGTTACCATGCATAGGTTTACTTGAGCAACGACACTTGCACAACTGTACATTTAAAAAAAAAAAAAATGAAATGAAAAAAATATTATATTGTATTGAATTGATGTTAAATACAAGAGGTATATATATATAGCTGAGGGTAGGTGTGTGAGTTTGTATATCATTAAAGTTTAATAAAACTCTTTTAGCACTCGGTTTATAAATTCAAAATATCATAATATGACATGTTTTTATTCTCTTTAACTAGTATTTCTTTGTTTATGAAATTGTTATTTTGGGTTGAATGATATTTAAGCACAATTTTTATATTTGTTTTATCATTTACTTATATATATATAAATAATTATTATTTTTTCATTCAAAATTGTAGATGTTTTATTAAGTCACGCGTTATTTCACGGTGCATAAAGATTAAAGGACCAGCTAGGAATCAATTTAATAAAGGACTACACATGTTAATTGATTTTGATCATGTGCGCGCGCAAAAACTCGTTCAACTTTGACAAGTTAACTAAGTATTGCTCAACACTCACGAATACAATTAAAAGAATGGAAGAAATATTGAAATCAATACTCAAAATCGCCAAGCAAAGATTGTCTGCCTTTATTTGAGGTCTCCATTACAACAAATAAGGGTTTCAGCGACTGTCTAAACCGCCGCTATAAGGTTCCCAAAACGCCGGTAATTCCTCTACCGGCGGTTTTACCTAACAGCCAGGTTTGAAATAATTACCGGCGGATGTATACAACCGCTGGTGAAAGATGATTCAGTGGCGGTTTTGTCTGCCGGTGTATTCAAAGTAAAATGTCAATTAACTGTATACTTCGTCACTTTGAAGTGCCAGTAATGTAGACTTTTTTACTTTTGGGGACGTGTTAAACGCCGCTGTATTCTTATACTCCAGCACTTTGAAGCGCTGGTAATGTAGATTTTTTTACTTTTGGGGGCGTTTTAAACCGCTGGTAACGTGTTAATTTAAAAAGCAAAACTATTTTCTGGTTTAATTTATATATTAGCAAATATTTTATTTTGTTCCCAGTTTAATGAAATCAAAAATAATTTACCAACCACAACACATCAAACAACTTAAATTTGATATGTAAAATAGAACAAAGTTGCATTAGAATTCAATAACATCCCATAACATATAAGTTTTGTTTCAAAATGTCAAGTGCTAATAAAAGGTTAAAAAATGAAACACCAAAATCTAATAAAACTTCAAAAGGAAATCATTCAAAATAAAACATCAACGTTTCATTGAGAATTTGAGTGAGACTATGTGAGGATCTTGAGAATTAATCGTTCAACTTCATCTCTCGTCTTGTTTCAATTTACCATACATACATTTTAAATAAAAGCCATTAAACAAAGAATAATAATTAAGACAATTAAATGTATGGTTAAAATAATATGATAATTAAAATCTATAGTGAGCACATTGATGAAATTTCATGACCAAAAATAAAATTTAAGGATCACCAAGTGTAGTTGAGGAGCCGGGTACCTTCACTATAAAAAATAATTTTATTATGCACCTTTATAATAGAATATAATTATAAATATATTAGGACTTATAATATTTATATAGTTAAATGTTTACAAGGGTACAATAACAAAAATATTTACCTGTACATTAGAATTTTGATGTTCAATATGATGCAAAATCATAGCCATTTTTGCATTCAAAGCTTCATATTTTTCATCATACTCAACACACTTCTTTTCCACTATCTCCTTCATTTCTGCATATGCAACATGTGTCTCCTCCTATACTTGTGAGGTCCTTATCAGGTCCGCTTTACTAGGAGATGGCCCCCAAAGACTAGTAGATGTAGGTCCTAAGCCATACATCTGAACACCGCCTCTTCTTTCTTCTCCTATAATGTAATACCCCTAATTTTAAAAGGATAGTCTCGGTATTTTCTTTTATGGTTTTTATGTATTTTTAAATTCTTTACTCGATCTACTTGTCTATTTGTTTAATTGTTAATTGTTTAATTGTTTAAATTGATTTCTTTTATGATTTTTGTGCATTTTTAAATTCTTTACTTGATTTATTTATCTATTTGTTTAATTGTTAATTGTTTAAATTGATTTCTTTGTGTAATTAAATTATATGCTTATGTGGATGTTCATTAATTGATTAAATTACTTTATTTGTTTAATTGATATTATTTGTGTTATTGAAATTTTATGATAGGTGACTTAAATTAAATGTGTAAAATTAATTGTTTAAAGTAAAATGTTTAATTTTATTAAGGATGGGATTGGATGGGTTGGATTAAATGGGTATGGTTGACACCCATGGATGTATATACATGTATCTATGGGTATATATGTATATGTGGATTAGTTTAATTGTTATTAATTATTAATAATTGAATTGTAATTTTAGTCATTATTTAATATATAATATAATTCTAGGGTTTTATATTCTTCACGGGTTAACCGACTTTTCTTTTCATTCCCTAAGCGTAATTAGAATTAGGTTACCCTAAGTTGGCCTATAAATACATCATTAGTGGTCTGCCAAGGGTTTAGAACCCCATTCCCGTAAAAGTGGAGGTAGAGAGAAAAAGTAATGAGGTTTGAGAGAACGGAGAGAACCAGTAGGGTTTCGGCTGTAGATTAAAGGACGGAACAAGGAGGAGGGAAGGTATTGATTGTGGATTTAAATCAGAGCAGTAGGAGGTTGACAGTGAACGGAAGTCGTCGGAAAACTTAGGAAGACGACGTTAAGGTTTCAAAACTGAAATCTCCAAGGCAAGTTTTATTCTTACTCTCTCCCCTTGACCTGTGTTCTGTGCATGCCTAGATGATCTCTAGGATTTTAATCGGACATTAAATCAATCTTGTATGCTTATTAAATCAGAATTAATCTGTATATGTGTTGTAAATTTAATCTGTTTCTTCGTATCAATTATTTCAAATATGTGTTCTAAATTTCTGTTAATAATGCATACTGGAGTTTAGATGTTTTCTAAGTAATTTTGGGACATAAAATTGAAACCTAAGAATTGTATTAGACATTACAGAGGGTTCT